TGGCCTCAACCTTCACCCTTCCCTCCACCTCCTTGCTACCCTTGGACTCTTTGATCTCTTTCCGCAGCTCTCCAACCTCCTTCTTCAAAGCCGCGTTCTGGGCCATGACCGCCCTGAGGAGTTCCTTGACGTCCATTGACCGCTCTTTGTCCACAGGCTCCACCCGTCCTGAAGGTTGGGGACCGTCAGCTTCTCCATCAGGGAGCGCCGCCGGCCGCATCGCCCGTAGTCGAGCCTCCGTCTGCATCCTCTCGCTCCAGAACGGGTTCACCGGGACCGACTTGGCCCCTTCTCCCTTTCCTTTTCCAACACGGGCCATAGGAGGTGGGCGGTCCCTGGGCTGACACCAGCACCGACGTCGCGGGCACCAGTGCATATAAAAGGGCTTCGGGTAAATTGCGTCAGTAATCAGGGTTTTCTGCGACAGTACTTTGTTTCAGGGTTTTTTGCGACAGGTCTGGGGAAGGTGTTTATTGCAACAGTTCCACGGGTGTTTTTTCACACGGTGAGCCCGGAACCGGTGTTTTTGTGGACGTCTGCACGGTGTTGTTTGCTACGGTGGTGTTTTTTGCGTCAGTGAGCGGTGTTTTTTGCGACAGTGGGCAGCCCACAAATCGTCGGAGCGTACGCGAGGTGTTTTTTTGCGACGGCGGTGTTTTTTGCATCAGTGAGCGGTGTTTTTTGCAACAGTGGTCAGCCCACAACTCGTCGGAGCGTACGTCTCGAGGTGTTTTTTGCGACGGCGGTGTTTTTTGCAGCCGTGAGGGGTGTTTTTTGCGAAATCTGTTGTTGCCTTGCAAGCAGCAACGCAGCAGCAAAGGCAGCACGCGGACCGGTCACAGCAGCAGCAGCAGCAGCAGCAGCGGCAGGAGCGGCATCAGCGGCAGCGGTAGCAGTAATGCAGCAGCAGCGGCGGCAGCACCGGCATCAGCCGCAGCGGTAGCAGCAACAGAGCACAGCAGCAGCAGCAGCAGCAGCAGCAGGCACCAGCAGCAGCAGCAGCACCGAGGCATCTAGCCGCTGCAACGACCGGCAATGGCAACCGGCAATCGCGACATACAGCTATACAAGAGACCAAGCAATAGCAGATGCAGCTGCAGGCCGACAAGCGCCGCTTAGCTTCCCGCGCAGTTGCGCGGTACTGAGCTTCTCCGCCACGGCAAGGCGGGCGCTAACGGGAGAAGAAAAACCGTGCGTATAGTTAGTTGGGCGCCGCACCCCGCCCCGACGCGGTAGGCGAGAAAGACCTGGCAGCGGTGACAGATCGTACAGTATGGCTACGCACTGCGAAGAAGTGTCGAATCGACGAGCAGAATCGGTAAAGCACAGCCAGTATGAAAAATGCAAAGTTTAACGTTTAATGACCAAAGAAACGAAAGAGCTGCGTTAGATAATGTTTGATGTCTCACCTTTTTCCATGGCAGCAAGAAAGTTTTGTTTGTGGCATCAGGAAGAAACGCGGCGGCGTTTGCGCGGGGGAAGGTTGGAAGCTTTCTTTCGCCCACCTTTCTTGTTGGCTGGCACTGTCGAAAGATTCAAAGCCGGAGACGAAAAGTTGGGAAGGCTGCAACTACGAAGAAATGTTGAATGTTCGCATTGCGCATGCATGGCGGCTGCCAGGCAAGAACATAGTATCGATGGGCTTCGGGTAAATTGCGTCAGTAATCAGGGTTTTCTGCGACAGTACTTTGTTTCAGGGTGTTTTGCGACAGGTCTGGGGAAGGTGTTTATTGCAACAGTTCCACGGGTGTTTTTTCACACGGTGAGCCCGGAACCGGTGTTTTTGTGGACGTCTGCACGGTGTTGTTTGCTACGGTTGCAATTTACCCTAGTCCCCATTTGTTGTGGAGTCCTCCAGCGCAAGGATCTCGTCCTCCTTCGCGCTCTCCATAGAGCCTCTTTGGGCGTGTCCGCCGCGGAGCCACCCACCGCTGCCCGGGCCGCCGGCCACGCCGACATGGGGACCAGCGACCAACCCTCCGGCGTGGAGGTATTGGGTGGACTTGCGCCCCTAGAGGCTTGGGCTCATAACCCGCGTCTGCCCCACTGGCAGCCTTTTTCCGTCTAAAAAAGGGCTTCGGTCGTACACTTCAGATTTGTGCGTTTCGCACTGGTCAACTTGGTACACTTCTCTATTTGTGCACTCTGTTCAAACCTCTAGTCTGGTACACTCTCGATTTGTGCACCAGCACATTTAACCCCACCCAAATAGCAAAGCATCTACCAAGATCTGCCGCTTCTTTCTGCGTGCGTTGTTCGTCGCGCTGTTCTTTCACACGTCTATGTGAAGCCACAAAAATGAAATGCAGTCCAATATTTAGCCTTACAAAAGTTACACAAACAAAATCAAGAGCCAAGCAAGATGTTTGCTCCCCGGACCATGAAGCACTTTACAAATGTTCGTCGACGGCAGAATTGTATGTTCAAGTTCCTGCGCATCGTCTACACATCGAAGGAACAATTCAAGACAGCAAAACAAGAAGGTTTGCACCAAAAAAGAAGGGTGTTCATATATCCAGGCGCACAAATCCTACTCGGGCAGAGGATGACAAGTTCATACAAACGACATGAAAATGTTGTCAGCACAGGAGAACGAAAATGTATTCGGGAATTGGAAAAGGATGAACGCATAATTAGTACACGAAAGGTGTAATGAATGCAGCTGTCAAACAGGTCACACATGAAGTGCTGGCGGCAGGGAAAATACATGTTTGGGCATGCAAGCACATAGTCTTTACAAAAGCACGCAAACCAAGCGAATAGTAATAGCAAATGTGACTTTTTACAACAGTCAATAGCAAGCAGGACAGATAATATACATAGAAGCAATGAATGTATAAGCGCCAACGCATATCAAAAGAATATTCACCAACGTCAAAATATTTGGAAATGCAATGACAACACTAAAATTAGACAGCAAGTTGCAAGAACAAGTTCAATATCCAATGGGTCCAAACAACATGCACACAATTTTCATGGGCCACGGAGCGCTTAAGGAACTTTTGCCGATGGCTGAAATGTATGTTCAAGTGCCCGCACACCATTTTTGCATCGAGAAACATACTCGCCAAAAGAATTTTAAAGCCAGCGGAAAACCTAAACGAAAAAATCACCCCAGGCACCATAGGTGTTGCGACATGAGCCCACACAGTTTCCGCACAGACAAAGAACCAGACGATTCAAAGGATATCATACAGGATCAATATGAACATAACACAGCAATATGCCACCACAAAAAAAGGACCATCTATTTTCAATTGCGCACGCAGTATTCATACACCACAGGTTCAATGAATGCAGTCATTCAAGGCACCATGGAAGATACGAGTTTGGACACGCAAATGCTTACGTATGTTATGCGTATATAATCACGAAGACTAAAAAGAGCAAAAAACGCAAATATATATATATACATAAGCATCATAAGCAGAACATGCATGAACTCACCAACTATGATTTTAACTAAAAACAGTACAAAGGTTGCTCTTCTCAAGCAAAACAGTCTTGTTCATGCGGACGCGACATGACAATATCCACCCGCAATATGATGTACACTCTGTGTGCCAGGTGTATGGACATGCAAGAGCACAGCTCACACACGCACAAAGACTGAGACCGAGACACAACCGCCACAAAGCGAGACACCACCAAAATATCAGCGAACCACCGCCAAAGCAGAACCGATACACCACCAAAACAGGCCGGACCGACATATGGAGGAGCCCGGACCCTCAACTGCCTAGGTTTTGAAAGGCGTTTGGGAAACGACACACCATCCAAACATGACCAAGACACCACCGAAACATGACCAAGACACCACCGAAACATTACCAAGACACCACTAAAACATGACCGAGACACTACCTAAAAATGACCAAGACACCGGCGAAACATGATCGAGACACCGGGACACCAGCGCCCAGGCCCGGGGCTGTGAATCCGACGGCGCTCAGCCGCGTAAAGAGTGTACAACCCCAAGCTATCGCTATTGGGGAACAAAAACTTACAAAGACTAAGACCTTCAAATCAATATTCATCCCCACAGAAAGTCACCCAAGAGGTGTTGACCTATACTATACTGGTACCCGAATGGCGTATGACCTGCTCTACTCAGTGTCGTTACTCATGACTTGCGAAAATATTTCAGGCTAAACCTCTAATTCTGGTCAAGTTGCGGTGGACACAAGGGCTCTGATGGGAGGCTTCCACAACATCCTGCATCAAATGAAAGGAAACAGAATCATCTCCTGTGTAGACTAACTACTGTAGACTAGACTGGAAGACCTCCGTCGCATCCAAACTCATTCTGCCCCCTTCTTCATGTGTGCTGATCAATTGCATAAGCACAGTCATGGCTTCTTCTACTTCTGAGCCCAAGCCCGAGAAATGCATTTGCACTAAGTCACTAAGTGTTTGAGTTTGGTTGATATGTCTGTGCGCAGAGAAATAATATCTGTCTGTTTGCCACAAAAGTCTAAACCACCGGGCCGACCAAATGTGAGACAAAGCAGAAGTGGTCCAGAGAATGAGGGCAATGGCGGCGGCTCAGCTGCAGGCCATGCCCCACATGTCACATGCATTGGAAACAGCAGTGAAGGAACCGCCTACCCCCATCACGGGTCTATCAAACTATCAGGGATTAGCTTCAAAACATTAACAAAGGCAGTGCTGTGGGCCTGGCAATTGGTCTTTCCTGATCCTCTATTCTGCGTGTTCTGATGCCAACAACTCGTGTACATATGACATGTAGAATGACGGAAGTCATGGACTGTGGGGTTTGAGCTACACGCGATACAGGAAGCTGAAATATCGCGCAAGCTGCCAGTGCAAAGTTGATATGACCCCTCTCTCTGTCTCTCTGAGTCTCTCTCTCTCTCTCTCTCTCTCTGTCTCTCACACAAGCTATATAGCAGTCTTTAGAAACTAGTCCATTTGTGTGCGATGTGCAAAGTTTTCACAATGAAAAGCTGTCTTCTCACCGGAGAACAGAGTTGCCGGACCCAACATCTGGGCATAGTTGCCAGCCCAATCCATTGATGGGTCGCTTGGAATCTGGCAAGTCATGTTGAAGGAAGATTGGTTGATTGATGATTGATGTGGAAACCCAACGCTGAAATCCTGAAGCATACTCCATCTCAAACCCCCAAACATGTCAGTTGTGGATGCTTGTATGCTTGTAGCGAAACGTGGAGATTGATTTACCCGCGGTCATTATGCTGGCCTGCCCTGACATTCCTACAACAGGCTGCCCTTAAACGGTTGTCTAGAGGCTAGAGCCGGCTTCGCTTGGCATCACCTGTGGAAGCTGCAAAGGACCTCTGGGACCACTGCGTTTTTGGAGTTCCCACGGGATCATCGCGTCCCACGGGATTGAGAGAAAGCAACACACGCATCGACTGGCTTCTCTGGCCCCAGACATGCTTGCCCTCCATGAATACATTCCGGAAGATGCGAGCGGCCAGGATAGGAACTTTGGCCACCAGGGACAGCGCCTGTTCCACACGAAGCCATGACTGGACATGCCAGATTGCTTGTAGGTGTACAAGAAGCCCCTCGACTCAACTATTAAAATGTCGTTTGGTTTCCCAAAGACTTGTTTTCTTCCAGCACCAATCCACACAAATCCTTAAACTGTATCTTGCCGAAGGTTTCGGAAGAATCTAATCACAAGTTACAGTTGAAATCAAACCCTTTGGTGTCTCGAGAAATCCAAGCTCAAACCAGACCTGAAAGCATCTGGTCCGTCAAAGAAAGGTGACACATATCGATCTATACTTACTAGTAGTGTCCTTGCTCCTAGTAGCTTCTTGTTCCTAGTAGTATGGCCAGGCGCTGCTCGTAGCGTCCTTGCTCCTAGTGGCGATGCCTTTGCTCCTAGTGGCGATGCCCTTGTTCCTAGTAGCTTCTTGTTCCTGGTAAGTATGTGGCACTCACGTAGCTTCTGTTGCTGGCATGGCCTACCACGTCCTCCAGCCCACAACGAGAATCAAAGTTTCTCCGATTCGCATAATCTCTTCCGGCCCTAGGCTTCCGCACGTCCTCCAAGGTGTAGACCCTTACCAGGAGCTTGAATATTGAAACTACCCAACCGCTATTGGGGAAGAAGCATGAAGCTCACTTGTTGGTATCCTCTGAAAACTTTAAAAGCCAGACTTGCCCAGTGGAGCAGGCTATGTTGCCGAACACTGAGACCTTGAAGACATCAATAGACACCGAGTTTGATTGACATTCCAATATTCTATGCAGTCAGGTTCCAGCCGCCATCTGCTTTCTGAAGAGTATGAAGAAAAGGGGCACAACATCGCATGAGTCTTGGTGCTCCCTGCCAATACTCATTCTTCTTCAAGGTGCCAGATCTGTATGCCTGAAAAAAACGATTAAAGGGCTTCAGGACAGGTCACATGACACCGAAACAGCAAAACGAGGGGAGTCGCCAAAAAAAAGCAGATTGTGGTTGTTTTAAGTTTTTGTCGCTGCGTCAATGTCTCTGCTCGCCTTGCCGAACTCGCTGGTGGGCTGCAGGGCCAAGAGGCCAATGCTGAGCTGAGTCATCGGATGGGTGTCCTCTGTCCAGGCCCAAAAAGAAAAACTGTTTACAGTGTGTATATGTATTTTATATCTATTTACATCTGGTTTTGACTCTGATGCTATCCGTAGTCATTGATTGCTAGCTATTTCGTGTAGTATAGATATGTAAAACATACAATATACAAAGTATTTTGTGTGTATGATTGAGTCTATGTGGATTGCTCGCATTACACATAATGAGGCTCAAGCAGTCTGCTACTCTTTCGGCGGTGCGCATCACTTTGGTCACGCTCTTGGCGCAGCAGCTCTGAGCAAAAGCCGCTCGGCTGAGGTGCCTTCCCCTACGCACTCCACGGAGATGTTTTCCAGCCCGGCAGTCTTCGCCATCAATCGAAGCTCAAAGGGAGGATAGAGAAATGTCCGCGTGGTGGCGATCATACGTCCTCCAGGCTTCAAGACTTCTTTGATATTGCGCAAGGCTTTCTCGGCGTCTTGCACCTTGTGGATGCCCAGGCCCCACCATACAAAATCCAGTTGCTTCTCGCGGAAAGGCAGGCTTTGTGCATCACCGCGGAGCATCAACAAACCATCCTTGAAGGTGTTTTCAGCTTCCGCCGCCGCTCGGGCGGCCGCCAGTGGCGCCCAGAGGATGTCCACGGCAAAAACGGTCTGGAAGTGTTTGCTCTGCACGAAGCGCCGTGCCATCAAAGCATCGCCACAACCCAGGTCCAACACCATTCCCGTCGACCTTGGTTCTTCATCCCATCGTCCGAAGAATTCCAGCGCCAGCTGGAAGTCGGAGGCCTGTTCTCGAGTTTGGAAGCGAAGCTCAGTGGGCGCTTCACGGTCGTCCACTTGGATTGGTCGGTTTTCAAATTGACCTGGCCCTTCACCTTCATAGTATGACCTTAAATCTGGATTGTACTGCAAACCAGCAGGGACCATATCAGGAATCTTTCCCAAGTCCCATTGCTTTGCTTCTTCGCGCCACTCATCTACAATGCAATTCACAGTATCTGGAACCGCTTTGAATGCCGTTCTGCGGCCTCTTGGTGAGCAAAAAGCCGTCGGCCTCAGCAACCTAAGCCCTGCCAGCCATACAACGACCTGGGTCGCTCGATACCACGACATGGGTCGCTCTGCAACTCATCAAGCAGAAAGATAAGTACAGAAATGACCCTAGCAATCCTACAGGAATTACCTAACAAATCCTACATCTGTCCCAGGGGCAAATCGTTTCCCCATTTCTGGGTCTTTGAATGTCTTTGAAGCCCTCTGTGGTCAGCTGGAAGCTTTATTATTGGTAGATTAGGCCATTCAAGTGCTGCAACATTCAAGTTGTAGTGTTCATACCAACTACTTGTGCCAATATTCTGAAGAAGGGATAGGTAGGATGTGCATAAACGATGACAAGCCATGCTTTGTCCCTGTGTCTGCAATGCCTGTAGGCCAATGCGTTCAAGCCGTATGCTTAAATCGTGTTTAAGATCATTAGCAAGAGGAAAGTTGTGGCTTTTCAGAATCTGTCTCCTTTGGTAAACTGTCAATCGTCTTCACCACGCTCTCGGGCAGCGCAGATCTCTTGTGAAGCTCTTCGTTGAGCGCCTGAGGCTAAGCTAGTCGTTCGATACATCTTGGCCACAACGGATTGGGACGTATATGTTGATAAAACGCGTGGTATGTTCAATCTGGCATCAAGGCCATTGGAAGAAATGAATTGAACACCAGCTGGCCCCTGTTACAATGCGAATCATGCTCTACTCCTGGGCCCAGTCTAGCTTTTGAAAGCGCGACATTCGCTCGATCCACCCACTCCCTTGATGCCTTTACTTCTGCATCTGAGGGGATCTCATCTGTCAAGAGAAGCCAAAAGGATGCCTAGTTGCGCAGCAAGGTCAAATTGGTTCATCAAAAATCAAACGGGATTCTACACATGTAAGAGTTACTGTAAGAGCATGTAATGTTGGATCCTGATTAGTAAAAAGGGCCCTCAATAATACTATGTGTTCAAATAATACTTCTGAACCTTATGTTTGTGCTAAGAGTCCTCTAAAAATGCATTATATCGGGCGTTAAATCCTTCTGAACCTTGTGCATACTACTAAGCCAGTGACTGGCTTGCTGAGACTATTGATAATAATATGGTTTCTCGAGTTCTTCTTCAAACGTGACAGCTTCCCAAAGCCATCAATTCCCTAATGAGTCCTTTATGTTAAGATTGCTCCTAAGCAAATTTTCTAGGTAGTAGACCAGGAAGGCCCCTGATCCGTATGATCCTCAAAAATATATTGATTTTAATATTCCTCGATTATGAAAAGTGTTTCCTCAAGTCCTTTCCTGAAGTCTTAATAATACCAAGCCAATGGCCGGCTTGCTGGGAGTATTGATGATTATAGGTTTCTCTAGTTCTTCTTCAAAACTGCTAACAACCTGAGAACCTTCTATATAGTACTTTCTTAGTAGTGTAAATGGATGGCTGAGAATATCTGTTGAATATCTACAAAGAACCTGAGAAAGGAAAAGGAACAAGTATCAGTATAATCCAATTGTAATCTATGAAATGAAAAGAAAGGAAAATGAATACTACAATCAATTGCAAAAGGAATCCTCCCACGAATCCAGATTTGTTTTGGTGGTATTTTATTATGGAGGGCCTCCCATTTGTTTAGGAGGAGATCCATTTTATTTTACTAATCAGGATCCAACATTAAGAATTCTGCCAATGCATATGCCAACAGAGAAATGTTGAATCTACTCTGTCCAACCAAAATGGCTTTACATGAGGTCCAAAAGGATGGAATCCAACAAAGAAGCAAAACGAAGAGACAAGTCGACCCATGGCGCACCTTGGTTGGTCGGATCGACCCATCAAAATCATCAAAACACCACTCCAATCGACCGATCCACGTCGACACACGTCAGTCTGTTGCCTCTGGGAGACCAATTTTGCTCCCTGGCGCTTTGGGCAGCTGATCCATGCAGTCCTGGTGCTGTGCAGCTGATCCATCACAATGCTTGACACAAATCTCCGAGCTCATTCCTCTTGATGCCTAAGGACAAGTCTGTTAGCATTGGGCCGAAAAAAAATAACTTAAAAAAAGAAAAACATCAAGAGTCCTTTGATTCAAAGAATCGAAATAAATCCACAGGGCATATCCTGCAGGGTACGTCCACGGTAGCGGATGCCCTCCATTGGGTCCTGGAATCGATGATGCGACACCCAAAGGACTAGCTTTGAAAGGCCGCTCTGCCCCCCTACCTAGAAGCGATGGCCTCCAACCCAATAGCGATGGCCTCCAATATGATCTTACATGGAAAAGGAACACGAATGGAATGCTGTGACGCAGACACTTTGCCAGTGCTGCAGCTACTCGTTTACTGAAAGAAAATACACCAGGATGGACCCCATATAGCATGTTGGATAAGAAACCTCACTAGGCATAGTTATGCAGTCTCTCGGTCATGTGTCATAATCGACCGGATCTAGACTGCACAGTAAGTAGGGCTAGATAAGCAATGCAATGTGGTGGGGGCAGGGTACATGGCAAGAGCAAATAAGATGTTGCGATCACGGCCTGGCTCCAGTCGCAGGGTTTTTCAGGGTTCCAGGGGTTCCAGGGAAAAAAGTTGCGATCGGAGTTCCAGTGTTCCAAGAGAAGCAAAGAAGTGGGAACTCTTTTGGGGAACCCCTTTTGCTTCCAGCTATTTGGGGAAAACAAGTATGATCCTTAGCCAAATTTGATTATTTCACACTGTGGGCTTGGCTGGTGCAAGCTGGATTTCTTCCCACCCGCTCCAGCAGCGAGGTTTCACTGATCATGCATGTGATGCCACGCATGCCGCCGATGCACCTTGCAACAGAGTCACGAACGGGTCGTTCAAACATTGCAGCTGACAAAGTGTCTTTAAAAGGCCTCCAACCTAATAGCAGAGGAAACCTAATAGCAATGGCATCCAACCTAGAAGCGATGGCCTGCAACCTACTAGCAATGGCCTCCACCCTAATAGCAATCGCCTCCAACCTAATAGCAATGGCCTCCACCCTAATAGCGATGGCCTCCACCCTAATAGCGA